CACGGCTTGAACATCCACAAAGCATGGGTGTTTTGCTGCACTCTCAGGGAAACCGCATCCCTTGCCTCAGTCTGCAAACATCACCGCGATGAGCACACCTCTGTTTGCAACAAGAGAGACTCCTCGGGAGCATTCATCAGCTCCACAACTGCAAAATACCCCAGCACGCTTGCAAAAGCACTGCTGACGATTGCGCAACCTCGCATCAGCTCAACCGGGCTCCACAGCATATCACTACAGCACGCTCTGTCCTTGCTGCCAGTCTCCATGCCGCCTCATCCCCGCATTCTAGTCTGCGACGGGTCAGGACAGAACAGCACAGCAGACCACTCCCTACCGTCCAACGACAAGCGCATGTCAAAGCTGCGCGAAGCCTTCATGTCCTACGTACAGGACAACAACCTCATGCAGCAATTGGCAACGCACCTGTCACAGGCAAAGGACACGCACCCCCTGTCAGAAAAACAACAGTTAGACCTGGCCTGCCTAGCCCATGCAATCGTGCACCCTGGATGCACGGATACTAACTGCCTTAGCATCAGGGAAGACCAGCCCTTTCGCCTCCTTCTCCTGCAAGCCATAGCTCAGCATGTCGATGACCCGGACCTGGACCTCATCCCTATCCTCCTCGAAGGAGTGCCTACCGGTGCCTTCACACCGCTGCCCGCAAGCAAGCAATGGATCGCAAATCAACTAAGCGATCCGCAAGAATCAGACCCATTGCACCTGCAACACTGCGCAGGCAACTGGACGCAAGCAGAAAAGAATCCCGCTGTCCTGCAAGAGCTCATTGACAAAGAACTGCGCGAGGGTTACATTGCACAATTTGACGGCACCGAAGCCGACGCAAAACTGCATTGGCCAAAAGGTACAGCGATCGGCAAGCTAAACGTGGTCATCGCACAGGGCCGCGACCCACGCATGGTGCTTGACAGCACCATTTGCAACCTAAATCCGCGCTGCCACTTGCCCGAGCGCGTGCAAATGCCTACCGCAAAAGATGTGCAGCTAACATACTCGCACCGCGACCCGCACGGCTACTGGCACGGGCTATCGCTAGATTTCAAGGCCGCACACAAAGCATGCGTAGTGCGCGAGGACGAAAGGGGCACACTGCTCTTCAGGCACCAGCACAAACTCTACTACTATAAAGTATGCCATTTTGGTGCAAGGTTTAGCAGCTTTTGGTGGCAAAGACTAGGCTCGGTCATCCACCGCACTTTGCACCGCCTCCTCAGCCATAGACCGCACCGCAGTTTCCTATATGTCGATGACATATTCGCAATGCTGTGTGCAAAACACAGCGCCGAGCTAGCCTGCCTAACCATTTGCCTACTCACCGCCGATAAGTTGGCGCAAAGCACAGCTGGGGCCCCGCATTACATGGCGCGGCTGGACGTTTGATCTAGCCAACGACACCCTGCAATTAGTGCATACCAAAATCGCAAAGCTGCTCGAGCAACTCGCAGCACTGCGCCGTGCATCCAAAGTGCACCGCAAAGCCCTGGAGGCCTGCCTAGGTCTCCTAGTCTGGGCAACTACAATGTCTCCGCACCTGCGACCCTTCCTTGCACCGCTTTACAGCGACCTGCGCAGTGGGAAAGGCACCCCGCACAGCGTGCCGGCCACGCAATGGCAGCAATTCTACCAGGCTCTGGACGACCAGGCACGAGTGCAAAACCCCGCAGGTATGTGGCTCCCAAAGAATGCACAGCTTCTCGAAGTCGGAAGCATTCCTATTTCTTGCAAAGCAGACGTCCCACGTGTGCCCAAAACCAGCCAGCGCACGTGGGTGCGCCTGGCAGACCCCAGCCGCCATGAAGTGCACCTCCGCAAGCAAAGCAAAGAAGCATTGCTGTGGCTTGAACAAATGTTCAAACACAGCAACATCGCTCCCCTTCACCAACCGCAGCTTTTGCAATGCCTTAGCGCCGCAGATGCCATGGCAGAAGGCAACCAGGTGGGAATAGGGGGATGGATGTGTACCAGCAGAGGCTTTGCATGGTTCAGCGAAACATGGACCATGCAAGAGGTCCGCGCCACCTGGCCTGCCCTCACAGACTCAGCACAGCCGTACATCGCCTGCTTTGAAGTCCTCGCACAGCTCGCGCTCCTGCAAACCGCTTGGTTGAAGGCGAGGCCATCCAGCATGTCCTTTATATTACCCACAGCAAGCGACAATACTGCAGCCGAAAGCGGCATAAATAAGCTCTTCAGTACAACCGAGCCACTCGCATCTTTCCTGAAGCTAGTCGCAGACTGGGCGCACAGGCACTCCGTGCAACTAGCAGTCTCCCACCTTGCAGGGGAGAAAAATGTCTGGGCAGACGAGCTCAGCCGCAACCGCATGCACCGATTCCAGCACCGCATGCACGAACGCGTACGCATTTCACTGCAAATGCTTGCAGAACGATGCCACTGCATCCACCTGCACCCCCCAGACGCATTCTGGGCTAGCTCTTTGCTGGCTGCCTCCGCATGAGAATCGCACTTTTCGCAACCGCATGCGCAGCAAAAAAGAGACCAAAGCGTTGCAGTCTCACAGTGAGTACACTGCATGTACTAATGAAGCCTCTCAACACTGAGGCCGAAACACTCCTGAGCGCGGTAGGGGTCCTAGTAGCAGATTCAGGAGTTGCTCCGGACTAAAGAAGGGGTTGTGAACTCAGAGTGATCTTTGCGTCCTTTAAGAACCGCTTTGCACTCTTCGCTACCCGGAGCAACACCTGAAAAAAGGAGCGCGTCCGATCCGTTGCTTGCATTAGCTAAGAAGGGAGTAGCCTGAACGTTGCGTGTGATCTTTTCTTTTTTATACACGCATGTTTTGCTACTGCTTGTCTTGGCGTTGCAAATGTTGAGATCACCGCAGGGTTCAGGCTCACGCACTGCAGTGGGCGCCGAGCGCCCCGGAAATCTTCACAGCAAGATTTTTGAAAACCCACCCAACCCTCCCTGAAGCATCCTATGGCTCGCACAGCAAAAGGTTCGCACAACCTTACAAGAGGCACGCACTGCCGAGATACAGCAAGGGGGGGTTGTGAACTCAGAGTGATCTTTGCGTCCTTTAAGAACCGCTTTGCACTCTTCGCTACCCGGAGCAACACCTGAAAAAAGGAGCGCGTCCGATCCGTTGCTTGCATTAGCTAAGAAGGGAGTAGCCTGAACGATTCGGTTCCGAGTTAAGGCAGCTCGAATTGCGGAGGTCTTGGCTGATTACCAGAAGGTTGTGTTTGCGGTGCATGTATGACGATCCCAACCGAAGTTACGCAACGCAACAAGTAGCACAACGGTCGTGGAAAGCCCCGAACTTCCACGATCGCGGTGTGCGGCGCACTTGAGATTCCGTAACAACATTGCCACATCGCTTCCTGATCGTTGCCATAATTGCCCTCGAGGCACTGCAAAGACGGGTGACTAAAACCTTTAGTTTTGTCAGCTTTAGTCGCCATCGCATGTTCGAAGGACTTGTTTTGAGCCCACATGCGTTTTCGCAGGTCTGGGTCCCGCTCGAGAATGCATTGCTGCGCTAGTTTTCGTAGCCCCCAATCTCAAGTTCCGAAATTTCAAATTGGGTTTATTTCGAAAGTAGTATCATTTAACATCCAACAAGCTGGCAAGGTTTGCATGACATGTCGTTCGGGGGGTTGGGCCGAGCAAGGTGCGAGCCCAAGCGTGGCAGACGAAGCTGATGGACTCTGCCATTCATGTCCGAGCCTTGTGCAGACTCAGGGCGAGATTTCAAGGTGCCGGAAAGGCATGTCTTGCAAAGTCGCACTCAGGTTCCACGTTTCTTGGCTGCTCTATCTTCATTGCGTTGCCGGCCTTTTGCAAGAGGAACTTCTGACCAGCTTGAGTCACTTGACGGCACGGACACATTTGTTGATTGGGTTTTCGCGCATGTCGGAGTGGTTGATTGAGCCGTGTGTTGTGTTGACGGTGGGATGCGACTAAGAGCAGCTTCTTGGACCCTGTCGTGCAGGTGCGGCTGCCACTTTTGAGTGCTGCATGCGGCGCTGCAGCTGTTCAGGCGCAAGCTTCTGTCATTTACTTGACTTCCGCTCGTCGCGATACGGAGCGTCATGACGGTGCACAGCCTCGGAGTGTTCTCAACTTTCTAAGCTGGGAAACTTTTGCTGAAGTGTGCCTTCTGCCTATGACTCAACTCGTGCTCGTGATGCCGGTTTGGCTCTCAGCCATTTGTAGCTCTGCAGACGATGAGATGGAGTAGTAACGAGCGTAGAAGGACTTGAAGAAGCACTTCTCTGGGTAGCCCATGTTAAGTGCTACGGGAACAGATCCCTAGGAACGCGAGGCTTGCATACGATGCTCCAGCGGCTCTGGATTTCCTTGCCCGTGCTGCATGCATTTGCTGAGCCAGGCCTCGAGCATAGAGTGCATCACTGCAATCCGAGGTCATGTCTGTGCAATTTGAGGGTCCGCAGCGCCGCACTTCTCGAGCTGTCCTCGTATTGCCGAGGTCTGTCGAGCTGTCCTAGATCCACTTGCAGCAACGATCGCGTTGATGGCGATGGCGACTGCCGGTCATCCTCAGATGTCTCCGTCGCCTGAAAAAGATTTGGAAGCATTCGGGACTTTGCACTATTCCGGAACACGAGCTTCGTTTTCGGCGAATGGTTTCTCTTGGCAACGAACAGCCAAGGTTGGGAAATGCGGCAGCAAAACAGGCGGCACAGTGAGCCCAACTTGGGAGCATGAAGTTGTTTGATTTCTTGCGATGAAGGATGGGCCTCCGACTTTTGCTTTCATGTAAACGTGTCAGCTGCAAAGACCGCAGCTTCATTCTCAGCTACAATCCTAAACCCTAAACCCGAAATCCTAAACCCGTGTCTCTACGAGCGTCCGCACAAGCCAGGTGGCTCTACTTTCATCCAGGCAGCCGCTTGGACTAACACGAGGGCACCAAGGGGTGTAACTTCTCAGTTCCTGTTGCAACAGAGGTAGTTCGGTCGGCTCAACGATATGCTGAAGATCCTGCCACAATGTGGAACACAACCCAGGCGCTTGCTCTTCGGCTTTTGCTGCTAGAAGTGTCAAGAGGCATGCCGATGTTCTTGACGTGCAGGGTGGCGAGAATGGCACTGACCTGTGGTGGCCATGGCTGCCCTGGCCGACCACAACTACAGTGCCGGTCGCCACGGTACCGCCACCAGCGCGTTCTAATGAAGGTGGACATCAGTGTCATGTTCAAACCGTGAATTCTTCGCCGGGCCGGGTTGATACCTTGTGCTGACATGTGCGCTGAAAGCGCTCGTCTGGTACCTCGTGCATCCTCGTGCCTGGTGGGATCGGGGATGATCGTCTGGGTGTCAGGCCGGAGGCTACAGATCATCAACCGATGCAAGCGGCCAATGATAATGCATCCAACTGGTGGCAACAGTGACTCTCGGCAATGTTGCTTATTTCGAGAAGTTCGGACGGGTGTCAGGTTATCCCTTGTTGATCCCTCGCCGAGGAGATCCCATGTGGTTTGGGATGTCCTGGCGGGATGACTTGCAATCCATACAACAGGTCGGGTCTATCAGAACAGCAACTTGGTGCTTTGCCAGCTCACGGCGGCATTTCGAGGTTCTGCTACTTCGACTTGTTCGAACCATCCGCAGGCAGAACCAAAGGCTTCATGATCAACGATGTCAACCTTTGTCCTATCTGCGAGGCTGGACGATACAACCCGGAGCCACGGCGGAGTTCCACACTCCAAATGTGCTTCGGCTTTTCTCGACCGTGCTTGATGCTTCAGGGCTGATTCGAAGCTGTTCGAAGTCACACCAAGGTTGCTGTTCGCCAGGGCAACGGCGTGGGTTCCCCAGCTTGCTCAAACTTGCCGTCAGGGCATCGGTAGCCCGAGCAGTGAGCGTGTAATGTGAGGGATGAACCTGCTAGGTGGTTGCAGACTGGAGCGGCAAACTGGAGGCCTGAATCTACATAGCAGGGCCGAGGGGAGTGGTGCAGAATCGGAAGCTCACGGTGCCGTTTGTGCCATTGCCCAGCCCTGAGTTCTACCCCAACTCCAGCATGGACATGGGGCCACCGGCATCAGCTCTCTGCAACGGACAAAGCAAGTGCCCGACATACCAGGCTCCGGGAAGATCTGCTACACGTGTAAGCACGTGTAAGCACGTGTAAGCGCATGCTTCACTGCACGAGCTCAGCAGAACACGAAATTTGTCTCGAGCGTGCATGGTCAGGGACTGAACGGAGTTGCCACGGCCGTCGAGTTCACCTTCGTTCCTCACGGTGCAGACTTCTATGATGTTTCGATCATTAACGGGTTCAACATTGGCATCGAGTGGCTCGGCGAAGTTCTCAAAGATGCTTTGCGGGTTGGTTTGGTGGACATTGCGCATGGTGGCGCTAAAGCTTGTGTCGAAAGCTGCAGGGGATGAATTTCGCTTTCGCTCGGTTGCGTCGCACCCCAAGCCGACCAACTCGAGCCCCATCTTTGCCAGGATGAAGCCAGACGGATCCTTCCAACCTGTCCACGCAGGCCCACCACTGAAGACAGTCCGGGGAGGGTGCTGTGATGGTGGAAGTTGGGAAGGTGCCAACGGCCGCGGATACAACTGCGGAGCAGCTGGAGCTCTGACGCAAGCAGACAGGTGCCGCTGTGCCCTGCAAAACTTGTGTTATGAGCTTCGAATGTTGCGAATAATTGTGACGCGTCGGGCATGCAATAAACTGGGGTGGAACTACGGTAGCTGCAATGCTTAGCCAGCCACTCTTGTCCTTCCAATGCTTGCTGTGGCCTTTTTCATACATTCAGACGCTGGTTTGGGAAGCTCTCCAGTGAAGGGAGAGGTTCAGGCGATAATCGTTTTAAGTCGCGTGTTGTTGAGCACTTTGACAGGCGCTTGTCAGCTTGCTCGTGGGAGTTCTCCAAGCGCCTCCAGACACTGGGACAAGCTGCTTGGCTCGCATTGGCTGACGGCCCATTCCAACCTGCGCAGCCCGATCCAAAGACTTCACTGCTCTCAGTGCTCAGATGAAACAGCATGTCAAGGCTGACATCAGCCCACTGCTAACGCAAGTCGATGGGGGATATGGCTACTGCCGGACTCATGCGGACTGCCAGGGGCAAGGCATTGCCACTCGACTGCACCGAGGTACACGAAAGACGTAGGACTCTTGGTCAAGACTGCCTGCGTCCATGAGCGTCTTTTGGAGCCGATGGTAGCCTGCTGCTGACGAAAGGTATGTGGGCAGGTTGCGAAAACGGTCTGGGATTGGGTGGCGAGGGTGTTTCGTCCGACGACACAGATTACCATGGAGAGACTTGCCTTGACAAGCACAGTACTGTAGACGCAGGAGGGTCGTAGGACTCTGGCCGTTTTTCAAGCAGCCCAAGGTGTGGCCATCGGATTGGTATGTGGTCGGTCTACCAGCTTTGCGTCTGGAGTGGGAACACGTATCGCAGCCCTGCCCCTTTCGATGGACTGATTGACTGCCCCAGCATGCACTACATGTTTGCCTGTGCCTGGGACTGCGTTCCAATGCGTTCGAGTTGCACCAGTGCACTCGGTTCATGCAATAGTGCAATAGATAAAGGAGCTGTCCGTGCCAGATGAGGGTGTGCAAGGGTCTAAGGTGCTGGCCCTGAACCCTGGACAACAACCTGCTACAACGACGCAACTTCCTTCAAGGTATACCAGGTTTGCTGTGTCTTCAGCACGGTCTTGCTGTGAAGCTGCATGGGCTGCATCTGGTGCTGTTTTGAGGTACCTGCTGGTGAGGAGTGCTGCGGATGTGCAAACTGGACAGCAGCACTGGGAATTCCCGTGCCGGACGGTGGCAAAGGCAGGCTTCCTTGAGCTGATGATGATTGGCAGATTCAGCTTGTCAAGAGCTTTTCCCTGCTGATCAGGCTGCCAAGGAGCCAGTCAAACATGGCAGGTGACCGCTCAGCCTTTCTACGAAATTCTGAAGGCGGGGATGTCAGTGTTCGCATATGGGGGTAGTCTTCCAAAAAGGAATTTGCAGTCCATTGCAGTACGAGCGTGGAGCTTGTCATGAATCGGTGGATTTACGCTATGTGCTCAACAGCAGAACTGCTGACTCCTGATGCCCGCTTGCGGGTGCAAAGGCTGCATGTGGGTGGCAGGACTCTCTCAAAATTGCTTTGGTGACCTTTCAGGACTTTTCTTTTCTGTTCTGTGCTGAGTGTCGTGTGCGACAAAAGCATAAGTGGGGGCTTGGTTGGTCTGTGCCAGAAGTCAGGGGAACGATCGTTACGTTCGGGTTTTCGGCCGAATGTGTTCGCTGCTGAGTGGATGAGCTCAGACTGCTGTCGTTTGGAGCCCATGAGGCCGGCTGTCCGACGGCCTACACCTTTGCACCTTGGCCTCTGCCTTGAAGTCCCGAAGCTAGGGCCGCTGGGGGGAGGGAGTCGTGAGTGTGCCACCACTCGCGTCCAGCCCAGGCATTCGATGATGAGACCAGCACATTCACGTGCCAAACTGCCGAGAGCCAGGAAGATGATGCTGTTCCCAACGCGGCGGGCTACAACATAACACTATGCCCGACGGACCCGGACTTCGTAGAACTGGGTGGAGGAGTTGACCAGGCGTGCATGTTCGTTCATCCCTTTCAGTCGTGTTTCAGATTCCACATTGTGTCCGGGTGGCTTAAAGCGAACGTGAGGGGTTAAGAAAGAGACCTGGACGACCGGTACTTGAATCCTCGCGTGCCAAGTTCTCTGACCGCAGGTTTGCAGAGGCGAAGCTTGGTGGGACAACAACAACATGTACTTCATCCTCTTTTCTAGCCAGACTTTGAGTCTTTTTGCTGCATTGGAGAGCTGCTGCGAGTTTACTTGAGTCCTCAAGGAGTTCCTGCTCTTGAATCGGCGCTTTGTCGGGATTGGCTTTGTGCTTCATGAAACCGACAATAAAAGCAGGCTTCATTAGGATTGCGCTGTCTTGCGCAAGCTCTGGTCTTGAGCATGCCACACCACTGATCTGCTGTGTCGTTTCCTAGATTGCTGGCTGATTCTGGCTTCATGTCTGGCTGTAGGTGAGTGCAAGATGAGATGCCGCGAGACAGATGGCTGCAAGGGCATTGAGTATGGCCCCTTTGGGCGGTGCGAGGCAGCAGCGGAGTTAAAAAAAACAGGGTATCATGTGAAGTAAAGCTACGAGATGTCCATGCCGGCTTTGCGGGTTTGGTACAAGGCACAAATCGATGTATGCGTGCTTTGCTCGTATGCCGCGCCTTCCAACAAAACGCTGTGACTGCAACTTGATGAGGTCAACGTTAGATGCAATTTGTGTTACGAGTCTTAGGCACTCGCTGGGGCCTCGGGGTACCTGCATTTGCAAGTGAGCCCCAATAGTTCATCAAAGTCGTCGAACATCTTGCCCTCACAAGGCTTGCTTTGTGAATCTGCGCTCGTTTTTGCAAGCGCTGCTGGAGCAGGTTTGGACACGAAGTGCTGGCATCCAGTCGACCAGAACTCTGGCAGGGTACACGTGCCTCCGATACGAGCCTTGGCATCTACATTCCCCTACTAGGCCCCAGGGCCTAGTAGGGCCTAGGGGTATTGTACGACTGGAATCACAGCGTTTTTGCATGCATAGTCCGCGATTTTTCGTACTTCCTGTTTCACGATGTTCTGGAATCCGAGAACGGATGGCCCCAAGAACTTCGTGTTCTGTTTGGTTTGCGTCGCGTGCATTTGCAGCGTGTGACTGCTTTGGTGATAGCAAGTGCCATGGCGCTTGCAAAATTTGCATGCTTCCTGCAAGCTAGCTCGTGTCTTTTACTACTCTGCCCCGCTGTTTTCGGAGAGAAGGTTGGAGTTAGACTTCTGGCTTTTCGAAAGTCAAGTGACCATGGGGATCCCACACACTCCAGGTCCCGTACGAGTTCCAGCAGATGGGAACGGGCAAAGATGCAGCTTGTCGTGGGTGCTTTGTCCATGTTATGACAACTTGCATCTGCCGATGGTGGCAGAGGATACCGGGCGGGGAATGAAGCCCCGTTTGTGGTGCTGAGCCAGGCTGAGATGGTGTGCTTGTCTTCAACTCCAGCTCAGGTTGACAGCCCGCGACAGTTCAGAACACGATTACAGACTCTATGTGAACGAGACGTTCAGCAGCTTGCTTAGCTGCTTTGCAAGGGACTTGCAAAGTTGTTGCAGCATTATTCCACGGTTTGGGTCACGAAGTCTTCACGAGGCGGTTGCCAACGACGCTGCCGCATTGCTTCGGATGTCTGCCAGGGCATCGACTTTGCCCTGGATGGCAGGTGCGAGGTATGGACTCACAGTGCAGGCAGCGGCAACCAAATCACCAGAGAAAGCATAGATTGTCTCCGTCTGGCCATGTCACCGTTGTTCTCCCTCGCCTCTTTTGATTTGGCCTCGAAATGTTTGAACTCGGCTTGGTAACGTTTCTGAATCCCGCCACTACATGGGGAAAGCATTTTGGCCATGGGCCCGAACCCCCTAAATTTTGGTCGAGGGTTTGGAGAAGGCTGTTGTTTGGTAGGGTTTTAGCAAGGGTGAATAGACATGTTTCTGTAAGAGCTCATGAAAGGGCTTATGCAACGATTGCAACGTTTATTTATGCACGGGTTTGTAGAGGGGTCTACAGAAGGGTTGATGGAATAAACGGCTTTATGAAGTTAACGATGTATGAATGGATGGACAGATGGATGGAGGGATGCAGGGATCAAGGGATGGAGGGATGGAGGGAGATGGATGGATGGGATGGACGGGTGGGCGGCTGGATTAATGAACGGATGCATGCATGCATGGATGAAAAAGGATGGATGATGTGTGGATGATGTGTGGATGGATGGAAGGATGGGTGGGTGGGTTTGTGGACGAGCCAAGAATCAAAGCAAACCACCAAACTTTGTTACACCTCTGGCACAACACGGACAACGAACCATGCAATGATCGGTGGGTTTCTGAGAGCCTGCAGGCATCCGTGCGACGGTTCCGGTGATAGGGCATTCCTGCTACATCTTTGCCCCATCCGACTTCGAGAGCGTGGGTGGGGAGGATCAGGCATGCCGTGGACAGACATGGTACGCGACTTCCCTGCAACACTCATGCACAGATCGGTGCGGTTTCGGTAGTGACATGCAGTGACTAGTGACGGTTTGATCAGCATGACGGAGCTCCAGGATAATTCGCCTTCGTACTACACCCATGTTCGAGACCAGAACCTCGACTCTTGCAAGAGCCTCTGCAGAGGCATGGGGACCAGGCCGGCTTGTAGAAACAGAGTTATGTGAGGTTATGTGTGTTTGCAGGTGCGGGAGAAATCGGGGGAAGGAGGTCCTCGGATCTAGGGTTTCGGGTTTTGGGTCTGGGGGGGGGGGTATGCTTTGTCACTGCAAAGAGGACTCAGCCGCTTTCATACAGTCTTGTTTCCTCAAGTTTGTTCAGCATTGACAGGTGCAAAGGAATCGAGTTCGGTCCTTTTGGAAGATGCGAGTTATGGACGCGTACGTCAGGAATTCAATCCAGCATGGCTCTGGGTGGCTTTGCGTGTTATCGGCATGTGCCCCTATGATTTTCATTGAGAAAAGCACCGTATGGACAGAAGAGCATGGGTGTTCGAGGAGGCAGCATAGACCCTACAACCCTGCACATCTCTGAAGTCTTCGTGTGGGGCCCGCACGGTGTATCATTACTCGACTTATGTAGGGGCCTCGTAACACAGCAAGCCATCCGGTCTCCGGAAGCTGGCACGTTTTGATACAGGTTCGGCGGAATGCCAAAGAAGGAGCTGGGGTGTGCAGCATGCTCTTTTTTCTTGTTTTTTTCACGTTGGTTCGAAGGAGCGGTCGCTCGTGCTGTGTAGATCCTCGTTCCCAGCATCGTGCCAAAATGGTTGTACAGCTCGAGCAGGATGCATCTGGCAGATTTGGGTCACGCTCGGGGCAGATCTCATCAAATGCGTTTCTTTCCCGCGGTTCCTGCATGTTGAGCATACAGCATACCTGTGCGCACCTCTAAGCCGGGCCATGCCGAATGTTCTGCCTGCTGGCGACTCAATTCTGGCGGCAGCAAAGCCTGCGGTTGAATTCGGCTCCGAGTGTAGCTGTGTCTAGGCTTGTCACGGCTCGGTCGCCGGCGCTCACTGCGTGTGTGGCGCTCTAGGCTGCTGGCTGGACATGTCCTGGAGACGTGTGTATACAGCGGCTCTATGTCTGGTAAATGGCGTGTGGAGCAATTCGGCGGCCCTTCAT